GTCTCAAATTTTTTTTTTTTTTTTTTTTTTTTTTTTTTTGATATACCGAAGAATGAACAAGAAGACCGAGGCATCCAAAAAATTTTTTTTTTTTTTTCTCCGATATACCAAAGCAAGAACAAGAAGACCGAGGCATCAAAATTTTTTTTTTTTTTTTTTTTTTTTTTTCGATAAATCCAACCGAGAACAAGAAGACCGAGGCATCCAAAATTTTTTTTTTTTTTTTTTCTTTCCCATATACCAGAGAAAGAACATGAAGACCGAGGCAACCAACAAAAAATAATTTTTTTTTTCTCTTTCCCGGAATTTTTTTTTTTTTTTTTTCGAAATAGCCGAGAAAGAATATGAAGACCGAGGCATCCAACAAAAAAATTTTTTTTTTTTTTTTTCCTAATCTACCCAAGCAAAACAAATAGAAGACCGAGGCATCCAAAAAATTTTTTTTTTTTTTTTTTTTTTTTCGAAAAATTTTTTTTCACAAAAACTTTTTTTTTTTTTTTTTCCCCAAAAAATTTTTTTTTTCGTTCCAAGCTAACCAAGACATCTACTATTCACTAGTAGAGCAATCGAGACTGCAAAGCAAGCAATGGCCTTACTTGCAGCTCTTGGTGCTGAGAACTCCCCCCCCCCTATAGTAGTCTTAAGTAAAACCACAGCTCTGACAGGAGTAGATATTGCATGCGAGCGAGGAGTCGTAATGGGCAAAATTGACTCGGGGGACCTCCAAATCGAATTCCGTTTCGAGCAAAACACTTCTTAGGCTTCAAGGAAGCTCCCATAAAATTTCCAAACCCAAACTCCAAACTTCATTTTTTAGCCTACAATGCCCACGTGCACGCCGGTGTGCACGCAGGGGTGCTTGAGCATGCGGGAGAGGAGCCATAATGGGCAACATTGACTCGGGGGACCTCCAAATCGAAATCCGTCTCGAGCAAAACACTTCTTAAGCTTCTAGGAAGCTCCCATAAAACTTCCAAACCCAAACTCCAAACTTTATTTTTTAGCATACAATGCCCACGTGCACGCCGGGGTGCTTGAGCGTGCGGGCGAGGAGCCATAATGGGCAACATTGACTCGGGGGACCTCCAAATCGAAATCCGTCTCGAGCAAAACACTTCTTAAGCTTCTAGGAAGCTCCCATAAAACTTCCAAACCCAAACTCCAAACTTTATTTTTTAGCATACAATGCCCACGTGCACGCAGGGGTGCTTGAGCATGCGGGAGAGGAGCCATAATGGGCAACATTGACTCGGGGGACCTCCAAATCGAAATCCGTCTCGAGCAAAACACTTCTTAAGCTTCTAGGAAGCTCCCATAAAACTTCCAAACCCAAACTCCAAACTTTATTTTTTAGCATACAATGCCCACGTGCACGCCGGGGTGCTTGAGCGTGCGGGCGAGGAGCCGTAATGGGCAAAATTAACACGGGGGACCTTCAAATCGAAATCCGTCTCGAGCAAAGCACTTCTTAGGCTTCTAGGAAGCTCCCATCAAATTTACAAACCCAAACTCCAAACTTCATTTTTTAGCACACAATGCCCACGTGCACGCGGGGGTGCTTAAGCGTGCGGGCGAGGAGTCATAATGGGCAAAATTAACTCGGGGGACCTCCAAATCGAAATCCGTCTCGAGCAAAGCACTTCTTAGGCTTCTAGGAAGCTCCCATAAAATTTCCAAACCCAAACTCCAAACTTCATTTTTTAGCATACAATGCCCCCGTGCACGCGGGGGTGCTTGAGCGTGCGGGGGAGGAGTCATAATGGGCAAAACTAACTCGGGGGACCTCCAAATCGAAATCCGTCTCGAGCAAAACACTTCTTAGGCTTCTAGGAAGCTCCCATAAAATTTCCGAACCCAAACTCCAAACTTCATTTTTTAGCATACGATGCCCACGTGCACGCCGGGGTGCTTGAGCGTGCGGGCGAGGAGTCATAATGGGCAAAAACTAACTCGTGGGATCTCCAAATCAAAATCCGTCTCGAGCAAAGCATTTCTTAGGCTTCTAGGAAGCTCCCATAAAATTTCCGAACCCAAACTCCAAACTTCATTTTTTAGCATACGATGCCCACGTGCACGCCGGGGTGCACGAGCGTGCGGGCGAGGAGTCGTAATGGGCAAAATTAACTCGGGGGACCTCCAAATCGAAATCCGTCTCGAGCAAAGCATTTCTTAGGCTTCTAGGAAGTTCCCGTAAAATTTTCAAACCCAAACTCCAAACTTCATTTTTTAGCATACGATGCCCACGTGCGCGCCGGTGTGCACGTCGGGGTGCTTGAGCGTAGCGCGCGAGGAGCCGTAATTGGCAAAATTAACACGGCGGAAATCTAAATCGAAATCCGTCTCGAGCAAAGCACTTCTTAGTCTTCTAGGAAGCTCCCATAAAATTTTCAAACCCAAACTCCAAACTTCATTTTTTAGCATACGATGCCCACGTGCACGCCGGTGTGCACGAGCATGCGGGCGAGGAGTCGTAATGGGCAAAATTAACTCGGGGGACCTCCAAATCGAAATCCGTCTCGAGCAAAGCATTTCTTAGGCTTCTAGGAAGTTCCCGTAAAATTTTCAAACCCAAACTCCAAACTTCATTTTTTAGCATACGATGCCCACGTGCGCGCCGGTGTGCACGTCGGGGTGCTTGAGCGTGCGCGCGAGGAGCCGTAATTGGCAAAATTAACACGGCGGAAATCTAAATCGAAATCCGTCTCGAGCAAAGCATTTCTTAGGCTTCTAGGAAGCTCCCATAAGATTTCTGAACCCAAACTCCAAACTTCATTTTTTAGCATACGATGCCCACGTGCACGCCGGTGTGCACGAGCATGCGGGCGAGGAGTCATAAAGGGCAAACTTAACTCGGGGGACCTCCAAATCGAAATCCGTCTCGAGCAAAGCATTTCTTAGGCTTCTAGGAAGCTCCCATAAAATTTTCAAACCCAAACTCCAAACTTCAATTTTAGCATACCATGCCCACGTGCACGTCGGGGTGCACGAGCGTGCGGGCGAGGAGTCATAATGGGTAAAATTAACCCGGGGGACCTCCAAATCGAAATCCGTCTCGAGCAAAGCACTTCTTAGTCTTCTAGGAAGCTCCCATAAAATTTTCAAACCCAAACTCCAAACTTCATTTTTTAGCATACGATGCCCACGTGCACGTCGGGGTGCACGAGCGTGCGGGCGAGGAGTCATAATGGGCAAAATTAACTCGGGGGACCTCCAAATCGAAATCCGTCTCGAGCAAAGCATTTCTTAGTCTTCTAGGAAGCTCCCATAAAATTTTCAAACCCAAACTCCAAACTTCATTTTTTAGCATACGATGCCCACGTGCACGTCGGGGTGCACGAGCGTGCGGACGAGGAGTCATAATGGGCAAAATTAACTCGGGGGACCTCCAAATCGAAATTCGTCTCGAGCAAAGCATTTCTTAGGCTTCTAGGAAGCTCGCATAAAATTTTCAAACCCAAACTCCAAACTTCATTTTTTAGCATACGATGACCACGTGCACGCCGGGGTGCTTGAGCGTGCGGGCGAGGAGTCATAATGGGCCAAAACTAACTCGTGGGACCTCCAAATCAAAATCCGTCTCGAGCAAAGCATTTCTTAGGCTTCTAGGAAGCTCCCATAAAATTTCCGAACCCAAACTCCACACTTCATTTTTTAGCATACGATGCCCACGTGCACGCCGGGGTGCACGAGCGTGCGGGCGAGGAGTCGTAATGGGCAAAATTAACTCGGGGGACCTCCAAATCGAAATCCGTCTCGAGCAAAGCATTTCTTAGGCTTCTAGGAAGTTCCCGTAAAATTTTCAAACCCAAACTCCAAACTTCATTTTTTAGCATACGATGCCCACGTGCGCGCCGGTGTGCACGTCGGGGTGCTTGAGCGTGCGCGCGAGGAGCCGTAATTGGCAAAATTAACACGGCGGACCTCCAAATCGAAATCCGTCTCGAGCAAAGCACTTCTTAGTCTTCTAGGAAGCTCCCATAAAATTTTCAAACCCAAACTCCAAACTTCATTTTTTAGCATACGATGCCCACGTGCACGCCGGTGTGCACGAGCGTGCGGGCGAGGAGTCATAATGGGCAAAATTAACTCGGGGGACCTCCAAATCGAAATCCGTCTCGAGCAAAGCATTTCTTAGTCTTCTAGGAAGCTCCCATAAAATTTTCAAACCCAAACTCCAAACTTCATTTTTTAGCATACGATGCCCACGTGCACGTCGGGGTGCACGAGCGTGCGGACGAGGAGTCATAATGGGCAAAATTAACTCGGGGGACCTCCAAATCGAAATTCGTCTCGAGCAAAGCATTTCTTAGGCTTCTAGGAAGCTCGCATAAAATTTTCAAACCCAAACTCCAAACTTCATTTTTTAGCATACGATGACCACGTGCACGCCGGGGTGCTTGAGCGTGCGGGCGAGGAGTCATAATGGGCCAAAACTAACTCGTGGGACCTCCAAATCAAAATCCGTCTCGAGCAAAGCATTTCTTAGGCTTCTAGGAAGCTCCCATAAAATTTCCGAACCCAAACTCCACACTTCATTTTTTAGCATACAATGCCCACGTGCACGCCGGGGTGCACGAGCGTGCGGGCGAGGAGTCGTAATGGGCAAAATTAACTCGGGGGACCTCCAAATCGAAATCCGTCTCGAGCAAAACACTTCTTAGGCTTCTAGGAAGCTCCCATAAAATTTCCGAACCCAAACTCCGAACTTCATTTTTTAGCATACGGTGCCCACGTGCGCGCCGGTGTGCACGTCGGGGTGCTTGAGCGTGCGGGCGCGGAGTCATAATGGGCAAAATTAACTCGGGGGACCACCGAATCGAAATCCGTCTCGAGCAAAACACTTCTTAGGCTTCTAGGAAGCTCCCATAAAATTTCCGAACCCAAACTCCGAACTTTATTTTTTTTTTTGGACACTCGTGTGCGCGAGGTAAAGCTTCTCCGCGGGACTCGAGCGAGTTGAATGAATGGGGTGGGCGCCGGTGCGCGCCTCGGTTAACCTG